GGACCGCAGCCCTGGGGCTGTGAGCGCGGGCGGGGAGGCGGCGAAGCACGGAGCGGCCTCCGGGGAGCTGGGCTGGAGGAGCAGGGAGGGAGCCACGGCTTCTCCCCGGTGCCGCCCCGCGGGAGGCTGCTGCCGTGCCCGGTGGTGCCGAGGTTCTCTGTCCGCACCGGGGGGCCGAGGGTGGCGGCAAGGGCCGGCTGCCCGGGGCGGCGCCCCTGAAGCTGTGTAGCGGTGCAGCTCGCGAAGCTGTGTTGGGGAGAGTAAACTTCAAAACACGGTCCGAGTTCCCGGGGGAGAGGGCGGGCGTTTGCCCTGGAGGCGCTTTTCACGTGGACCCGGAGGTTCAGCCCTCCGCTTTGCCTGCTCCTGTTGTTCAACACCTGCCCCGTTTTCGTTTTAGTGTTTGTTTAGAAAGCAGCATACGGTGATCGCTGGGGTTATGCTGGCTAATAGTGGGGATCCGAGACATCAGTGGTGTTCGAGATCCCAGGAAAAAAAAAAAAAAAATCATATTTTTCAGAGTTCTTTACCTCACCTCCGGAGGATGGGTGATGAGTTTTGTTGTCCCGTTGTGCGCGAGTGTGAATTTAACTTCTGCTCTTGCTGGCTTTTTGTTCCAACCTCTTGCTATTGGTGTAGCAGCAAATTGTTGGGTGGCTGAGTTTGAGAGTTTACCTTTTTAAATCCTTTGTAAAACTCGTAAGTTCTACCAGACTACAATAGCAGTGTTGTCTGTGTGGAAGTGATAGGTAGAAGCTCTGGAATAAGAGCAAACGGCTCAGAGCATGTTGTGTAGCAGTGAAGCGCCCTTTGTGGTGTAAGGAATTTCAGACAGAGAATCCCTGTTTGCTGGGTCCTCAAGCAGAAAATATTTGAGATTAGGGTCTTGCAGAAGTTCATCAAATAGCACAGAGGCTATTAAAAAGATGCTTGCTTAATATGGCAACAGCCAAAATTTTTAACTAGACCTTATGTAACTTCTTAATTAAAATAGTTCCACACATTCAACACATTTTTGTAAACTCTGTCTGCATGTATACACCCAGCTCAGAGAGTGACTTTTTAGCCTGTGTATCTTCTAGAGTAAATCTTGGTGGCCTTATTTCATAATTCTTTTTAATTCTTTTTTTTTTTTCTCTGCTGAACAGGTTTGCTGTAAGTGTTGGTTACTGGAAGGACCCTTACATCCAGTATTTTGTGAGACAAGCCAAAGAAAGAAAAGCACCTGAAATCAATAGAGGCAAGTTGGCATGTGACTGTGAGTGCAAACGTGTTCTGAATTGGTCTTGAAGAGCACCTCGTGAAACCTCTGTATACTGGGTGTTATGGAGTGTAGCAAATACGTAAAAGGACGAGACAAGTTTTCTTCACAGTGATAATTCTGTACTGTAGTTGGCCTTTTAAATATTATTCTTTGAATCAAAACTCTTATCCTTTGCTTTCTGTGTTCTGAGTGGAATGTCTCCGTGTGTCTCGGCGTGCAGCAATCGATACAAACCAATCAAAAAATGTTGATTTGACCCAGGGCAGCAGGGTGGGTATGTCAGCTGTGGTCTCTGCTCAGTTTGAGGTGAAACTTGACTAAAACTTTAATTTACCAAAGGAATCCTGTTTTATCAGTGCGTCAGACTTTGTTAGTAATGAAAAAAAAAAAAAAAAACCAACAGACCAAAGACCCTTAGGTATCTTTTTAAAAGTGCATTGATATTCCTAATAATTCTATTTCATTTTTCTTCTTAAGAAACACTATTTTTTTAAATAGTTTATAAAGTTACCTAAAAATCTTAATGATCGTTAAACAGCAAGTATTATATGAAAATAATAATATAAAAATCCTCTTCTTTTTTGTTAACAGGCTATTATGCTCGTGTTCATGGAGTCAGTTATTTGATTAAGGCTTTTCTAAAGAAGACAGAATGCAACTGCCAAATTGTTAATCTTGGTGCTGGCATGGATACCCTGTTCTGGCGATTAAAGGTAATGACAGCTGAGAGTAACGAACTTGGCTGGAGGCGGAGGTTTGTGAGTGCTGCAGCAGAGTGCCCTGCGTGGTCTGCCTCACTTTTCAGCTTCCTTAGAATTAGTTTAGGTACCTTCAAACCTCAGTGCGCGGCGGGGGGCTGCGGTGTTCACCGGCTTTTACCAAAAAGCATGTGACAGGGAGCTGACCTCTAGTGGACTTCCAGGAGTAGAGCTTGAACTCCACGTTGTGCTGTCCTCTTTAAGCCTTAAGGCTTCCCTTTATTTAATCCTGTATTAAAACAGGAATCAGATACCACAGCACAGAATTGTACAGACTCTATTCATCTGAATTATTTATGTAAATGTGAGTTTTATATGTATAAATACATACGCCTGTTTATGCATGTAATTCACAAAAATTCAGATTATTCAGATATTATATGATAGTATCATTCTGAGTGAACACACTTCCAAGTCATCTTGTTTTCTCATTAGCATTTTCGTTTGTAAATTTGGTTTCTGGAAGAAAGGCCAGGGAGGCCAGTTGTGTTTTGCTTGGTCACAATTCGTTGTATTTCAGTCAGTGGAAGGGAAAAAATAATGAATTTTTTATGACGTGAAGTTTTCTTCTTACCTGCGTTCCTATGAACGCTATGTTAATATACAGTTTTATTAACTTTTGTGTAACAGTGATTTTAAAAGCTCAGTTGGGGCCTGTAATTCCAATTCGTTATCCTTGCAAAGAGCAGGTGTGGTACAACTAACGGACAGAAGATGGGACCTAGTTAAGCGAGTGCTTCAGTGTTCTGACTCCTGATTTAATCCACTGTTCAGAAATTCATGAGGTTGCCAAGCTAGAACTAGTGCTACATCTCCATCACAAAAGGATTGCTGCATAGGGAGAAACTTGGTACTGCTTATCTCTTAGGGTGTCAGATGGTGACAACATGAAGTGAAGAGGTTTTCCCTTTTTTTGTGGTAGAGGAACACTGATGTGCTTGTAGTCTGGCTGTGGGTTTGGGGACCGGTTGTGGAATGTGGTCGCTTTCTCTGTAAACCTGTTCAAAAAGTTCCTGATTCCTTTCTTAGAAGAATACTCTGAAGATGCACACTAAATGTCCTAAGAGTTTCCTGGTGCTGTGCTCTTCTAGATCCTGATAATATATTGTTGGAATACATGTTTCAGTGATCTGGAGTCCAGGATTGCTGCATTACATAAAATATTAGTTTCCTTAATGCTTAGAGGACATTCTAATGTCTCCCAAGTGTTTTTTTGTTGGTTTGGGTTTTTTTTTTTAAGCTGTAGGACATTAAGTTATACTACTGTTACGAATGACAGTGTAAACTAAACCAAAACTGTTTAGGACTTAAGGTTCTGTCTTGTCATGTGCATGCAAAGCTTGGATGTTGCTAATTCTATGGTCTTACTCCAATTCTCAGGATGAAAATCTTCTCCCTAGAAAATATTTTGAAGTGGATTTTCCAATGATAGTTGCAAGAAAAATACATAATATCAAGTAAGTATAGTGCCTGTGTTTGTTTAGCTGCGTGAGACTGAATGTAATTCAGCAAAATGCTCTGAACTGCAAGCTGCAATTATTTCATCTCTCTTCTGAGAAACTCTTCGTGCTCTGGGATTTAGAGTAAAGGTTTCATTGTGCAGGCAAGTCATACATGTGATGGCACAGCCACTATTCCAAACTGCAGAAGTTCGTCTATGAAAGCTTTAGAGAGGCCAAGCAGACTTAATTATGTAAAATATAATGGGCAGGGGAAGCCTCACGATGATTAGAGGTGATTAAGTCTTCTCTTACTGTTGAAGAAAGCAGCAAATTCCCAAGCTTGGGTGTTCAGTTAGAGAGGTAGGATGGCTGGTGCTATACGTGAATGTTGTGCTTGATGATACGTTAAGGCTTATGGAGGATACCTGAGGAGTGTCTGGATTTCTCTTCAGGTTGCCTCAAAACTTAAGAGTCATTTGGTATAAACTGCAATTTAGGACCAAGTCTAACTTGCAAACGTTTTTATTTCCAGTAGAGGGCAGAGGTATTCTCTCATCTGTTTTTAATACACGCACACACACTTATATATTTTAAAAAAAATAAATCGTAAGCACACTGTTAAACAAGCTTAACTGCTCAGAGATGCTTCTTCCTTCTTCCCACAGATCAAAACCTCCCCTGTCAAAACCAATTATGGAATCCCATTCAGGGGACTCTCTTCTAATAGGTGAGTCATCTTAAAAATAAGTCAGCAATGTACTGTAGCACTTTTAAAACTTTTCTGATCATTTTGTTCTGCTATGTGGGCAGGCTTTTAATGTTTGAAATGCTGTTTGGACAGAGAATTGGGAGGGAAAAGAGGCTTTTTTCTTCTCTTACAGACTCCTGCCCATTTGTTCTGTGTCATCTTAGAAACGTCTTCTCTTGAAGTGGTTTTATTCTGCCAGAAAGTTGTTGAGGTTTTGTTTTTTTTTTTTGTCTCATATGTAGCTCAAGTTATGCTGCTAGTCATATACACTGGATTAAAATATCTATTGAGTGTTTCCTTTGGTCTTCTTTCTGTCTCATTAAGAGCATGGGTCTTTACGTTTAGCAGACTCTCAACAGAAGAATGCAGCCTGCAAAGTCCGTTCTCAGGAGCTGGTGCCATTTGTTACGTTTTAGTATTAAGAGAACATTAGGTTCAGATGCTGGTGTGGGGTTGTATTGTCTTGGCTTACAGCCTCGTTATGTTTGTGTCAGGATTGTAATTCCAAAAGCTCTTTGCTTGTGGAAAAAAAAAGCCTGGGTTCCGTTGAGTAATGTTTTTTGTGCCCAAATAGCAGATACTGCACTATCATAGCTGCTTTGGACCCTTTAGGAACAGTAATTATCTGCACCTACGATGCCAATTAATTTGTGTTAGCAGATAAAACAGAGCTAGCAGTGATTAGTGGTACGATTACAGGTGATTTTAATAAGCATAATTGCAGCTAAGGGTCTGGAGGGCCCTTCAGAGAGTGAGGAAGAGTCCAACTAGTGAGGAGGTGTGCTCGTGCTGCGGGTGGCAAGGTGTAGGGGCTTCACCCCCAGGCTCTTTTAGTGCTTTAACTTGGATCGGAGTCCTGCCACACACTGAGTTGGTTGTGCATGTTATACACGTTTTATTGCTGCATATTAGAGGGTCTTAACTCGCCAACATTTTAGATGCCATTCGAATGGCAGAGTTCTCCACTGTACGTTCAGGTCTCAAAAGATGAAAGCCCCATGCCCCATCTCAGAAAAAGGGCTCCCGAGCACCACTGTTTCAGCAAGGAGACCTTCTTACTTCTCCTGTATACAATGAGATATGCTGCATAAGCACTGTTAAAAAGGCACTAGCACAAGGTCGATCGGAAGGGTTTGATAGTATTTGTGTTACTGAACAGCTGTAGATACATCTAGCAGAGCAAAACAACGGTGTATTGTAATCAGGAGCTGCTAATAGCAAGTCACAGCAGTCAACAGCAATTAATGTATCAGTGTCTGAATGTATTGGAGGGGCTTATTTCTCTAAAGCTGTTTTCCTTGTTCTTTCTCAGTGCTGGGTTTTAAATACTTTAGCCATTTTACTATAACCCAGCTGATGTAGGCTCTGCTACATCTTTGGGATGTAGCTTCATGTCCAGATAACTTGGAGGTGGTAGAAGTCTGTTGTGGAATCCCAGTTTGAACTGGCACTCAATAACCACAGGTCGGTTTGAGTGAAACCTCTGTGGGGAACTCTCCTTTAAGGACATATTAATGGAACTGCTTCATGTGGAAGAGCCACCAGAAGAGGCTGTGGACTGAGTAGACAAATCAAACTGTCAGATGAATAGAGATTTCTTACAGGTCTAAAGGAACTTGGCAATGAATTCGCTCAGCTACTAACTGGTATATACCCTCTCATTTTAAAACTGTCTTAGTACCTGAGAACTGGAAGGTGGCGGCTGTGACTCAAATGGTCTCCAGGAGAAATCCAGGGAACTACAAGCCAGTAGGACTGATGTCTCTACTGGACAGATTAGTAGAAACTAACAGACAGACTTAGTGGAACACAGGAATAATATAATGTGTTGAGAAAGAGTCAACATGGCTTTTGTAAAGGTAAGTTATGCCTCACAAACCTATTGGAGCTCTCTGTAAGAGTCAACAGATATATTGGAAAAGGACATCCAGTTAATATCGTGCTTGAATCTAAAAAAATGTGTTTTGACAGTGTCCCTTACCAAAGCGTGCCAGAGAAATTGCACGGTTGTTGCGGGGGGAAGGAATGGGTCTCATATGGATGAGGAGCTGGGGATGGAGGGTAGGCATATGTTGTTAATTTTTGTTATGGAGAGAGATGGAGATCTGTGCTTAAGGATATGTTGCTGTTCAACACTAAGAAATGATTGGGAAAATAGAGTGATTAGTAAGTGGCAGCTTGTTGGCAAGTCGAAACTTTTCAGAGTGGCAAAGAACTGTAGAAGAATCTTGTGAAATTAGTGACTTGATGATGAATTCAATGCGGATTAATGTAAAGTGATGCACATGGGTGGAAAAAATAGTTTGTGCCTCACATGTAAATGATAGGCTGCTGGTTGATTATTGCTGCCTGCGAACAAGATCTGGGTATTATAATAAATAGATAGAGGAAAACATTGACTCAGTAATGGTCCAGAAATCCAAATCACAGTTAAGAGTTCTTAGAAAAAAGGTAGATGCCAGTATTGTAGTACGTGTTTGCCCTCTTTTTGCCTTTTCCCTAGGTAGCTGCTGTTGGCATCTGTGAGAGGCAGGCTACCACACTAGGGGGACCTTTGGTCTGGCCTGGTGCAGCTGTTAGATTAATGTGGTGTCCTGGGAATACTGCCTGTCCTAGGGAGTGCAGTGGGGCATAACGAAGCTGCGTTTCCAGGCAGGGAAATGTTACTTATTTCTGTGGGCTTTGGGGTGGGGATATGGTCCATGATTTTAGAATGTTATGGAGAGAGGTTGTCGTTCGTGTGTGTGTGTGTGTGTGTCCGTCCGTGTGTGTGTGTGTCCGTGTGTCCTCCCCCCCAAATTAATTCCACACTGCTGTCACATGTATACCAGGAAAAATTTGTTTAGGTGCTTCGGAATTTGATTTTTGAGTTGTTGTAATATCGACTGACGTGATTCTTGTTCTCTTACTGCTTTTCTTCTCACGCTAAATGTTTTCATTTCATGAAGCTAGTGCTAATAGACAGCTTTATCAGCTTCAGGCCAACATCTGCTTTCTCCTTGCCCTTTAGACAAAGCAATGACAGTATGGCTTGTGATTCAAGTGTAGATATTTGTGGCCTCTGCCCTTGAATGCAGCAAGATGACACTTGTCATTGAACAGCTTTGTCGTTTCCTTGGGAATGTTAGATCTCCGGGGGAAAGCAGTGAATTTGTGCAGTAACTTGACATTCCTGTGGCATTATCAGGTTAAATTGTTCTCAAAGTTCAGTGGCGCTATCTGGTTTATGATCCAGTTGCCAGTGTTGGGAAGTTAGTACTCCACCTTTGCTGCCTTGCAAGTGCAAATTACACTTCAGTGCACTAGCACGTTTCATTGCCAGTCTTACATTTCTGCCCCTGTCTAGTCCAGCTCTGAGAGTTGATTATTTTAACTTCTTTTTCCCTTAATTTCCAAACTTGCTTGTGACGCAACGTGGATGTTGGGGCTGTTGCTGTCTTGGTGACTCGCACGCCTTGCATTGGGAATGATCCTGCTCTTGCAAGACAGACTAAATTTCTTTGTGCTTAGACACATACCCTGTCCTGATGTAGTAAACAACCAACCTGAGTGAGACCAACACTGTATCATGCCTTTGAGCCTGCAGAATAGGTTGTATGGGATGGCTGGTTGTAAAGCTGCCAGAGATAGCTTAGGATGAAAATCCTAATGAAATCAGTTTGAGTCAATAGTATCCTGCATGCTGCTTCTTGGAAAACCTCCAAGAAATTGTTTCACTAATCTGAGAAGAGAGTAAGAAAAGAAAACTCTGCGTTCTTGTAGGAGAGGAAACACTGCACTTCGTGTGCCTGTGATTCCGCTTGAGCAGAGGGATTAAGGCAGCGGGTGAGTGCCTGAGGGCCACCCTAAAACAGCATTTACTTGCTGGTAGCGTGTTTCTGCGAAGACAAAAATTATTGCAGTGAGGTCAAAAGGCAACTGTAAGCAACTTCTGCTACTATTCAGTCACTCCAGTGATGTCTAAATTCAAACCACTTGTTACTTCTGTGCCAGAAGTCATGGAAAAATACACCTACAGGTGGTCTGATGGGAGAGAAACGTTCTCCGTTGCATTCTGTGTGGATAACAAGCGAGCACCTTGGCTGAGAGTCTGTGCTGGGTGGATGGGGTGGGCTGCGGTGCTGGGGCTCGCTTTCTTTCTCTCCCTCACTCTCCCCTCCCTTGTATTTCTCAAATGAAATCTGAATCTGGTGTCTCTCAAACCTTCCTTTCAGACACGTACAAGAGAGAAACTTTGTACAGAACTGAATGTGCTGAGTGTGAGCATCACAAAGAAAACCGTAAGGTAGTTCCATGCTCTAGAAAAGAACACCAGGACCAAACAACTTTGCTAAAAGCCAACACGAAGTATTGGTGCCTGGAGGGGAATTGGCGCTTGGAACGTGGGGTTTTCAGTGGATCAAGCCATGAAATGTTGCTGGCTATGCCAGCGTCAGGGCAGTTGGCCTCAGTCACATCGAGGTGGCCCTGTTTATTTGAAAACTGCCACCGGCTTGCTCATTAGTGCAGCGTGAGGGGTGTTCTCAGCCAGCCAGGAGGGAGGGCAGCAGCACTCCTGGCAGTGGCAGGGAGCTGGTGGAGTGGGGAGGTCATGGTGGCAGACACCTTCAGAAGAGTAAAAAAAAAAAAAAAAAAAAAAAGTTTTTTTTAGCACCAAAAAAAAAAAATCCATTAAAAGAAACTTATTGTTCATAAGAAGAAATCAATGGAGACCATGTGATGCCGCTACCAAGCGGAAACTTGCTTTTTCTTTTTCAGCTGCTCTGTAGATAGGCAGGCATTGTAAAATACATTTGCACCAACACTACTCAGTCAGGGTGGCAGCATGTTTGCAAATTTTCATACTTAAAGCATCAGACTCTGCAATAAAGTAGAAATTGGTGTCAGACGAGGACTAGCAGTACATTATCTTCTGGGGTGTTTATGGTCATACTTCGACTTTGAGCCTCCAGGCTGGGAACAATGGTAATTCCAGCTATCATCAGCTGCCATTGCCTCGCCGTGAGTGAGTGTCTGCCAGCTAAGTGTGAAGTGATGGAGCAGTTGTCAGTCTGATTTTAAAATCTCAAAGTTGTTTGCCTAGTTAAGTATGATCTCTTCATCCCTTTGACTTTATATATAAAAGGATTTTTTTAATGACATGTATAGGCCAAAGGTGGAAGCTAGGAGAAAATCTTACAAGGAAGTTTGGAAGAGGTTTAGCTTAAACTTTTTCCTCTTGCTTTTTTTCCTTTTGCCTCTCTTTGTATTTTAAAATTGTCTAGTGTAAATTACATATTTTCCCCTAAGATTTCCTTCAAGGTAAAAGTATTGCTCATAAATGTTGGAATATAAGAATTGTGGAGATATTTAGTGAGGTGCTTTCAGACATATTTAAAATACAGGAATGTTAGCAATTGTATCAGCTTGTGTATAATGTGTGTGCAGCTCTGCCTCGGTACTATCTGTGGTTGTGTTTGCCAACAACCGTCAATGGAGAGTTGAGGGAAGTTGGCAGGAAAATGTGTGGAGGAACAAGTACATTCTGTTTGAATGGACCAGAGAAGGAGAACCAGGCAGTCTGGATACTGGAAATGGAAGTGAAGTGACTGCATTTGGAGTAGAAGGCTTTTGAAGAGGGGAAGACAATCCATTCCTCGTCGGCCACCTTGGCCTTTTGACAGTTTCTGCTGTGAAGGGTCTGATATTAAGGATACTTGGCTTTAATATTTCTGCTGAACCAAGTCACTCCTGAAAAAACTTGTCTCATGTTTCATGTTTTCTTTCCAGCAGTTGACTTCAAATAACGAGGCCATGGCTGTACGGCTGTTTATTTTCACTTGGCCCCAGCCCACATCTCCAGAAACAAGGGTCTGCTGGGCTGCACAGCTCAGCCCTGAGGATCGCCCCGGTCGCTTCCTCTGGCCATCCCCTCTCCCACCATGTCAGGGCATAACAGAAAATTCTGTGGGGTTTATTCACGCATATACAGGCTTATTAAAAACAACGTTAGGGATTTTGATTGCTGAAATTTGAAGGATGGTTTTTCTAACCTGGAATTTAAGAGGTTTTGCTCTTTCCTGTTCTTCAGTGATAAAAATACTTGAATCAACATGGTGTGAGCAAGAGACATTTACTTCCACCTCTGAAGTGTTTGTACTACTTGTGTTACTGGATCACTTCATAATTGTTGTAGTTTATTTCTGGTTTTAATTAACGTACTAGTATGTCCAAGTCAATGAAGCTGGACAAGAAGATTGCACCAATTTCATACTAATTGTGGTGACTGACGCTTACCGTGCTGTATCTCCAGACAGCAAACCAATCGCTATATAAATACTTTCCTGTGTGTGGTGGGGGTTTTGTGTGGCTTTTTTTGATGCCATTATCATGGCCTTGATATAATAACTTAAATAGAAGGGTGTGGGAAGTCTTAAAGCTATTACAGAACATGCACATGGAAAAAAGCCTTGACTCAAAATGTTGAATCATTTTCTGCACAACTCTTTTTTTTTCTTCTTCTTTTTTCTTTTTTCTTTTTTTTTTTCCCCCTGTAACTCTGCACAAACTGTTCTGGTTTCTGTATCTGTTAAATGTTGCTGGAAAGCCAGCTATTGTGACTTGCTAGTGCCATTTTCAAACAGGTGGTCACTTGAAAATTAAATGGAGGTATATCTTCCAGAGTGTTTGAAGCACTGCTTAATTTAATAAGGTACCTTCTCCCCCTAGGTTTTTGTTTCCTCTCCCGAAATGGAAAACCCCTTTCATCCTGTCTCTTCAGCCACTTGGCTTCTCTTTCTCCCTTCACCTGGCTCTTGGCATTTGCTCTGGCGTTGGGTTCGGGAGCTGTGTGCAGCAGGGTCCTGCCTGGGGCTGTGCCAGCTCTGCTTGCGGATGCTGACTGACCGTTACAAAACCACTTTAAACTCTCACTCTGGTTTTTTTTTTTTTCCACCGTTTAGCTTTCTTATTTTTTACTGCATGCTCTGTCACACTCATATGGTAAGTTAGAGGGGCAAATTACATGCTATTCAGTCTTAATGACTTCACTCTGGTAAAGCTGAAGCTGAAAGAGCAATCTGATCTATTCCTGCAGAACTTTTATGTCTTTAAGTGGGTTTGCTGCTGCACTTGTGAAATGCTTTCTGAGGGGACTGGGCTCATCTAGTGGAATTGATTGCAACTGGTTGTCAGAATTATTGATAGCAGGATGCTCATGTTGCTGCTGGCTTCCTTACAGTCTTGCTAGTATGGCAGAGTGCCTTTTGACTTCACTATTAGTTCTTCCTTCACGTTGGAAGGCATTTACAGGAGCTTGCTGCCTGTTGTATCCCAGGGTGAATATTTATTTCTCAGAATACCTTTCCTAATTTGACTCTACACTTAAACACCATCACTAGGTCATACAAAAAGCCTAAATGATAACATTTTGGCCCCCAACTCTGTCTGATACCCATATATATTATATAGCTATAGGCATTGTTAATTTATCTAGCAATATCTGTTGTTGGTATCTGGAACCTTCTTACTCTTAACTTAGTTTTCCAGAAATCGTTGTACATGTTTTTTAATCTAGTTCCTTATGTGCATACCTTGGGCTATCTTAAAAGACTGCAAACAAAACAAAACCCCCTGCCTTTAATCTTCACATTTTTCTTCTCTCTGCATTCCTTGAAACCATGGTAACGGATGGGATAACCGATCTGCATTAGAGTGGCTGCAGAGCGAAAGAGTAGGCTTGTTGCAGTCACCATCTGTAAACCACAATAATCAGGTATAAGGGAAATTAATGTTTTAAAAAGAAGAGTTTGCTCTTAATTGTTAGGTATAACAGATCAAACTTTGGCTTCAAATTCATACATTTCTGTGTATATTTTTTATTTTTAGTTTATAATTTCAGTATCCCTCTTATTTGTAACCGTTAGTCTCTCAAAATCTTAAACTTGCAGATTCTCACAGCCTAGAGTCCAGTCGATATTCCATAGTAGGAGCAGATCTCCGTTTCTCATCAGATCTGGAGGAAAAGCTAAAGAAACATAACCTGGATATACAGTAAGATTATTATTTTTCAGCTTTTTTTTTTTTTATTTTTTTTTATTTATGAGGGCTTGTGGAAACATACTGGTAAGAGTAAAGTCAGGCTTGGGCATACAGTATCTGCATCCAGTGCTCATTATGCTATTTCCATGGTTACCTTTTCCTGAGCCCTTTGAGCAGAAGGAATTGTTCAGACACCTCATGCAGCCTCGCTGAGCCGAGCAGGCTGGCACTGCCGTGGTGACTGCTTGGTAGTTCCAAGTCTGAAGCAAGGTTGTTCCTTGCATAGTCTATTCTGCAGACCGTGTTTTCGTCCTTCCTGAGAAGATCAAACATTACAGAACTATTTGCTTCTTGATCTTAAAACGCTGGGTGGGGGGGTGAAGTATGGCTTTCTGTGACCGTGTTTCTGGTGGTGGGTTCTCTTTGGGGTGTGTGATCCTTTCGCACAAGTTAAAGCTGTGGTTGCAGGGCAGGCAGCTGTAATTCCTTCTCGCTTTCACCCCCATCCCTTGCCCTGGAGGGGATGAGCTCCCGCAGCAGCCATTTTCTGCCTCGGAGCTCCTAAGAGTTTTCTCTCTCTACTTCATGAATTTAACTCTTAGAGATTTCTAAAAGAGTTGCCCCTTGCTTGAATTTGGTTGAAATCTAGTTAATAGAATCATAAGTTGTTCAAGGGGAATCTCTAAACTAGAGATGTATCAAAATGTCATAAACTGCTTGTTTTAAGAGCTGGTTCAGTTGCATTTAGTTTTGATGTTGACTGATGGGCAGTGCCTGGATCAGTGGACATCCTCCCCCCCTGTTGTAAGGGCGGTACGAGTCAAGGTTTCTGGGAGCTTAGCTGGTAAAAGAAAGAATAATTCTGTCAATGTTAAATTATTTCAGAGTTTTATCTTTGTAATTATTTTCTGTTGCCTCCACTTTAAACCCCTATTGTTCCCCAGACCTTTTGGTAAAGTGATTGCTGTGGAGTCCTTTGAGAACTGAACTCCGGAAGCAAATATCTGGGATTTTATTGTTCAAGCGTTAGGC